AATTAGGCTTACTAATAAGACAACTCAGATCTGAAGCTACACAGGAATCTGCTGTCAAAGTGCAATAAAAAAGACAAAATTAATAGAATCAAACCCTTTTTTTGTTGCATTTTAGTAGATTATAAAAAGAAATGCCTTTAAAATAGGATGCAAGCAACACTAGTTTCTTAACCTGAATTGATAATAGACTATAATCAATTTAAACAGAACATATATTAATGTTTGCATTCTTATACCATTTTGTACAATAATTATAATGAATAAGTTCAAACTAATTAAAACTTACAGCTGATTAATAACGATATCTAACTTGAGTTTTTATTATATCAAAAACCTGTTGAAATGTTACTGTTATTTTTACTGTCCCCCAAAAGCGCGTCGCAGCCTCCAGGAATGCTTCTTTCACAACTTTGCCGTCTTTGAAAGACTTTATGTGTTTCGCAAGAACGTGACTGGCACGATAAGATGCTCTGGTAGCAGCCTTGCTCTTGTTGTTGGGCCTGGTGAAAATGGACTGCTGTGCATTTAGCTGTGCTCTCAGGCCCCTCCCCTTTTGGAGCGTAGGGCAGAATTAGGAGGGAATTCCGTCTCCTAGCGTTTGTGCACTGTTTTGAAATGCCGCTCCTAAATTACCCTTCTTCGATAAAGCCACGCTCGCATTGCAGATGAGACAGATGGACTTTGAATTGGAATAGATACAAAAATAATCATCCTCCCACTCGGAGTGAAAATTATATATTTTGGGCTTTTTTGCTTCTGCCATAATTGCGGTCTTGTGTGTGTGCGGACTGTCACTCCTGTTGACACGGACAACGTCAGCGAACTACTGCCCACTGCCCACCAGCCACGCCCCGACACATGGGGTCACGCCGGCCAATCACAAAGCTTTGGTGCGTTCAAGTGCATTATTCTGGCACGGGAAGATTATGTTATAGGACATTAACGATAAAACAGAATATTGTTGTTCTATTTTTAGACACATCTCGCGATCGACTGGGAATCTCCCCGCGATCGACCGGTCGATCGCGATCGACTGGTTGGGCACCCCTGCTATAGAGTGATGAGTCCTAAAACCCAGAAGTGAGTTAGCATTTTACCACTTCCGGGTCCCTCGTCTCCATAGGATTTTGGAGATAGCTGAAAATAATGTCTGTGGTCGACAAAAAAATTGAAGGGACGGATCACGTTTTGTTCTTGAAAGCAAGTGCCTACCTCCTGCAAACTGTTAAAACAAAAGCTACAACTTGTACCATTTTGAATCTTTATTTTTTAATATCGATCTTAAGTTGGCGGGACGTTGAATTTGTGCGACCCTGCTGTGGTTCGTTTATAGCATTTGGTTAGCATTTTTCTTCTGGCGATTAGATTTATGATTCGAAAATTATAAAAGTAGTGCAGACATGTGGAGATTATCCGGCTGAACAAAACGCGCATTTATCAAACAGGTTCGTTTTCCACAGACCTTATTTCGAGCTATTTTGCAAAATTCTATGGAGAAATCCCATTTCTTTTTGTCGAGGGAATCCATGAGCAGTTTATTTCCGGGTAAATACGTCATCCCTGCACCAATCTAAAGACCTTGTAAATGATGTAATCTATTAAAAAAGGTCAGTTGCTCGCTCAAATTTTGCGGAATATAACGTTAACTGCTCCATTCACCTAGACATTGTCCTTTGTGACTGGAAAAAGTGTCGTTATCCAACTCATAAACGGCGCACACCAAACATGGCGTCTCCCCCGCAACTCAGTGAGATCGAGAAGCATGTGTTTTTCTCCCAGCCAATCAGCAAAGATCCCTCTACCTCACAGAAGACAGAAAGTCGGAAAAAGCAGTATGGTGACTCGGTTTACTTACGGAAGTCGATGAAACATCAAAAATAACGAAAACTCACAAATGTTATGGTTGTGCTAGGTTAGGACATTCGTGTTTTAGAAGTAGAGAAGTTAGTGAAATTAAAATCGCCCCAAAACTCCCTTTCATACTTGACAATGTAATCTACCTGCCACTAAGACCCTGGGGGAGGGGAGACCTAAAACATGACTTTTTAAAACTTTTGAGGCGAGAAATAAAAAACTAATTATGAGATCTATTTGTGGCGGACGATATTTAATTGTGGTGGACCGCCACAAATGAATCGATGTATGGGGAACACTGGCAGCTCTGTCTGTAGTGCTCTACTGCCATGTGCGCTGCTGTTCCCTTGGCTGAATTCACTTCATGAACTTGGAGTTACAAGTACAGTTTGATCAGTTGAACCAAGTGTTATACCTTTGTTGATCGAATCGAGTAAATTACTCACATTGAATGAGTAAAATCATAAGGTTAGTGAGAAATAAGTAAAGTACAATAAGGTATTTTCAATAAGCATAGCTATTACTATTTACAGCATGCTGAATCCTCCACAGTAGACTAAGACCTGTCACAGACTCTTTTATTCTTTAGTCATGGTTCACTTAGGCAATAGATAAAGCTGGAGGCAACACTTGCTCATGCTTGTATGTATTTACGAGTCCCTCATTATGAAATCATCCTTCTGGTTTTCTATCTGTCCATCAACATAAATCATGTGTCAGTGTCGAGGCAGTTTGTCAAAGATGTAAGGGGGAGCGAACCCCAGTGGTTATGTTGATCTTGGACCAGCGAACTTCCCAGTGAAAAAGACGGGTAAATACAATTATATCCATGTAGAGGTGCTGAATTTAAATGTTTTGTGATGTAAATATATTTGTATTTGTTATTTTATGTTTACTTTGCTTAAGTCTGACGCATTTGTATCAGGTCATTTCTAACGGTACTTCTTGTTAAAAGTACCTAAAGACTGTAAACCTAGAGGCCAACATGTGCAACTGGTCAAAAAATATAAACTAATTAATGATAACCATTGCCATATAAATTCCTCGGCCCCCTCACTCAAATTGAGTAAGGTCAACAACGGGCAAACATTTCAGTAATTTTCCATTCAAGTGGGATGGCATCACCCCTCAAATCAGATTCTGTCTTACTGTATGTATCGATTCTTTCTTGAGTTTGGTACTTGATTGAACTGGTAAATACTGGTTAAAGGGAAAAGCCAAAGCCTGGCACTCACCACATGACACACAAATATTTTTGACAAAGAGAATGACACACAGTTTCTCAGAATACCTCTGTGTGTGGTGTAAACAATCAGATCACCATCTTGTGATGCATCTTGATGTATCTAATGTTATTGCCAAGTGATATCAGGGTATAACAGCATGGCATCTAAACCCAAACAAACCCAATCACACGTTGCCTTCCTCTTTAATGTTTCAGGTACGTAAATTGAGCCTAGACTTTTTTTTCCAGATTGGCTGGCAGTCGCACCGGTCCTGAACACACACTCATAAACCATAAACACACAATCAGCCGTTGTTCCGTGTTTCACTTGGAGCAGATGACAATTGTTATCAGACTCCAAACCCACGGCTTCAGCCAAAACACATTAGGGTTCTTTGAAATGAGGCGAGGGTCCCTTCTAGTCACACAGAGAGGACCTTAGGGAAAAATATTTCTGTCGTAAATTATGGCCTTAAATTGCAAGTTTCAACACAAATAACACAATGTGACGGTGTGTGTGGAGGTCAGTGGGAGGACTCACACTTCTTAACACAGTTGTACCTGCTTCACATGTTGGAAGAGGAGGTGATTTCCCCAACCAGTCGTGTAATCTGACATATTGTCTTTCTTGTTGTAAAAGCTTTCTAGTATCTCCACTTTGACTCAATGTCATTTTAGGCCAAACACACATTCAGCAATGTGTTCAGAGAGTATAATTCTTAATATAAATACAAATACTTCTTTCAATCTTTGAGCTTTTCCAGGGTGGCTAATAACGTTTTTCTGTAGTGTCAGCTCAAAACAGATTTGTTTTGTTAAACCAACCGCACACGCTACAATTAATTGACTTAAAATTGCTTCTGCTAAAATTGCTTCCGCTAAAAAGAAAAATATCATTCCACTGCGTACCAATAGCAGGAAGTGCGGCATCAACAATGTAACTTAAATGACGACAGCACTGATCGAGGTTTTCTGTAACTCTCCAAGTCTGTTCACATTTTCTTTTCTCTACGGAGAACAGTTTGATCTTTTAGAAGCCCCGACAGATGGTCCTATAGATGGTTTAAGCAAGCTGTCCTCATATTGGATCAACACAGATTTCCCATGTAATAATTAAAGATTGTAAAGGATTGTTTTCAGGCTTGTTTGTTTTGGTTCGCTACAGAGCACTGCAGTTCTTCTTTTAGTAGAGAGCATTTTAGAGACTTCCTCTAGCCGAGTCGATTTACTTCCTGATGGATTGACGAATACAGCTCTTAACAACTGGAAACCAAAACTTAACTCTGGATAATGAGTGTGCATAAGATAAAACTACATCAGAATCACCTTAAGAAAAGGAAAGTTAAAACAGTCTTCACCAGATAAAGACTTCAATGTTAGGAGACTTGACTTAACTTAGAACTTAGAGAATATGCTCTCTGTATGCTATAAAATGTCCATTAAAAGGGAAAATGTAAAACAACACAAAAAGCCGGCCAACAGGGTGTACTTTGAGGGTTTGTGACTCTGCTGACTGTTTACATGCATAAAAAGCTACATAACACACAAGGGGACGGGTAATAACCAGAAAAGAATGACATGGGATCTTTTAATATAGCAAGACAGATGCAATGCTGCAAAACACTCATACAGTGGAGGTTTATGATTACTATAATGTTTTACTTACCAATGTAATCGTTAAAAACAGCTTCTGGTTAAAAAAACTTCTCCTTCACAGATAAAAAAAAACACGAGTCATTTTATTACCCTTTTAATTATTTTTACATTAGGGACCAGTCAGATTTCTCAATATGATTTTTTTAATTAACCAAATGAGGAATGATACAACAAATATGTATTCTAAGTTTCTGAAATGTTTATTCTAAGTTTCAGACATGTTGTGTTTATGTCAGGGACCTCTTGATAATCCAAAGTGTATTTTTCGGTGTCTCTTTCTCACAACTTATTTCCTGTGTACTGCGAAAGCAAAAAAGCTAAATATAATGAGGAAGGAGCTTTAATTACTAGCGGAAGAAAAAGGGGAAGGGCAGAGAGAAAGCTGGAAGAAAGATTTAAGGTAAGGCACGACAGTAATTGGAAAACACAACGCTCGTACCAACGAACTGTAGAGACAGACCAGTTTAATAATCTGACGGAGGATCTCAGCATCGGACAGCAGCACCATGAAGACGTTTCTGCTGCTCTTCCTCTCACTGATGACAGGTAAAAAGATTACCTATACCCGATAGCGAATTTTAATAAAATAAAGCCTTTTCAACATATTCTGCGTCCATTTTGAGCTAATTGTTTTTATTTTATTGATCATAACTACATCATATTTATCGATATGAGTAAAATCCTACAGCATCAAATTCTGCTACTGTATTCATGTGTGTGTGTGCATTATATTAATGCACACTGTACATACAGTTTTTATTTCATTCAAGTATTGCCAGTTCTGCACAACCCTCACAATATGTTCACATTTGTACACAAGCTACCTCTCATCCACTTTACATAACAATACTAGTTTATATTTTATTTGATCATATTATTCAAAGTACTTTGCAATAGTACGTCGTATTTTTGTATTCATGTAAACATTTTTTAAATGTGTGATTTACTAATTAATCCTGAAAGTGTGTCCTGATTTTGTTTGAGAATCTGACATGAACGTTTCTCTCTCTCAACAGGCTGTGAGGCCTCTATGGTGAAGGGATGCAGAGGTGGATGGGTTAATTTTACCCGCGGACACCCTGAGACATGGAAAATATATACAAGTATTAATGTAGAGGACAAAGATGGAAATCAAACAATAATTGAAACCAATGAAAAAAACATGTGGATAAGCGATGGAAGATTTTCCGTGGAATTGAAATTAGGTAAGAAAAGCTTCATATCTATCGTGACACTCTCTTGTCCTTTGTGGAAGCACTCTGTTACCACACCCTCAACAAACTATGTATAATGCATGCAAATACAAAGTCATCAACTGCAAATCCATTCAGACAACAATGGAAATCAGTTAAGGCACACGTTAACGGATAGATTTCATGTTTTACTTTTCTTTTTTATTTGCAGATAACCGCTGCCAGGAAGCATTAAATGTAACTGCGTACAGAACAGGTAAAACCACCATCTCATTTGATTACGAAATAAATTACGACGACTCCATGTTTTGCTGCAAAGAGAACGGTTCAATCTGTAAGGATATTTCAACAAAATCTGCTCAATCAAAGGGGATGTTCACTCTCACAGAAACCAAGAGTGGCTTCAATGTGTCCATCAGTAATGTGTCCCCACAGCACGCTGGAGTCTACTGGTGTGGAGTGGAATCAACTGAAGGAAGTTACCGAGTTGCTCTCAGGAAAATACAACTGGAGGTTAAAGGTGGGGTAGGTAAGTTTGAGAAACCGGCTCGAGATACACTTTTTGTTATATTCCATGGAATGCTCTTAACATCCCGATAGCAATGAATATCTGAAGTGCTTTGACAACAAATCCATAAAAAAATATCATCTGTGGAAGCCGTGGCGCTGTAAAAAGCACGACCAATCATCTGAGCCGGCTAAAGTAACTGGATGGCCTCCCTGCCTGTCAGCTGGGCACAAAGCTTATCTCGTGCCCTCATTGGTCATGTGCGCGTTCTTGTGTGTTGGAGGAGGGGCTCTGTAAGGAAGTGGCAGATTTTCTCCGGTTGTGTATTTTCAAATTCTAGCGCACTCGAGCCGGTTTCTCCGAAATTACCTACCCCACCTTTAAAGGTGAGAAACTAAATATCTGAGATGAATAATAAAGGTTTCTCTGATATAAGTTGTTAAATACAGACCATGTGGTCTGTCTGTCTACATCAAAAACTTCACTAGGTCTGCAACTATTTGACAGAAATGTACCTACTGATGTGAATATCCATAGGGTTTTCGCACAATAATAATAGTCAAACCTAATGTTAATTGAAGAAAAAAATGTATGGCTCCAAATTACAAAGACTATCATTGATATATGATTACATGATACACTTTTTTTTACATTTGAATGATTGTATTTCTCGTTTTCCATGCTTTCCAACGTTATAATCTCAGTCTACTTATCAATTTTCAGAAGAATTGACAAACTCTAGTACGTCATCAACATCCCATCCTCCAACCACTTTGTCACCTACTGGTTCATCTACTGGTTCCTCTACTGGTTCGTCTACTGGTTCCTCTACTGGTTCGTCTACTGCTTCATCTACTGGTTCATCTACTGCTTCACCTACTGGTTCACCTACTGGTTCACCTACTGCTTCATCTACTGGTTCATCTACTGGTTCACCTACTGATTCACCTACTGGTTCACCTACTGGTTCATCTACTGGTTCACCTACTGATTCACCTACTGATTCACCTACTGGTTCACCTACTGGTTCATCTACTGGTTCATCTACTGGTTCACCTACTGCTTCATCTACTGATTCGCCTACTGATTCGCCTACTGATTCGCCTACTGGTTCGCCTACTGATTCGTCTACTGGTTCGTCTACTGGTTCACCTACTGGTTCACCTACTGGTTCACCTACTGGTTCACCTACTGGTTCATCTACTGGTTCATCTACTGGTTCACCTACTGATTCGTCTACTGGTTCGTCGACTGGTTCGTCTACTGCTTCGTCTACTGGTTCACCTACTGGTTCACCTACTGATTCATCTACTGGTTCATCTACTGATTCACCTACTGGTTCATCTACTGTGTCAACAACCCAGTCCAACTCTGCCCAGAAAGATGGTGAGAAAACTACTTTTTGTTCTATGGAACATACTGCAGCCATTGCAGGAGGAAGATGATAAATGATGTTATTAGAGATTAAACATTCCCACTAAATGTTATATCACAGACTTAATGGGAGTTAATGTTAGTTAAAATAAGCTACATGGGTTTTGTCTCCTGCAGGCGTCTCTTGGATTCCTATAGTCGCCACTGTGGTCTGTGTGGCTCTGCTGGGGCTTCTGCTATTTTTGGTTTTCAGGCACAAGCGTAAGAGATTTCTGCACGTTACTTTATACGTACTTTTTATTCACTGGAAGTAGGTGGGCTGGCACACAGTTATTAGATTGATCAATTCATCAATACATGTACTTATAATAATAAAAGTAATGGGGTAGGGGATGGGGGGATTTAGAATAAACACATTAGGGGTAAGTTTTAGAAAAATACAGTATTTCTGTAATATATTGAACCAGGGAAATGTGAATAAGTATGGCAAATGCCAAAAAAATACATTCAACCACTTTTATCAATTTCTCTGACAGATTCATGTTGTTCAAAAAACAAAAGTAAAGGAGAAGCACATGACGTGGAGGTAAGGGTCCATATTTGTGGGTGTGTGTGTATCTGTGTGTGTATTAGATTGCTAGATTTAATTGGCCAACAGTTGGGAGTTTCCTCCCAATATTTCCATGATGATGATTTCCAGTTTGTCACCAACAGCCTTTGCCTTCCACAATAAGAGTCTACAGCTATGCTAGCTATGCTCAACTGTGCCTTGAAATAAATCATTTCCAAATATGTGTCTGAAAAGGGACTTAAAAGGAGTTTTGTAGCCAAGCATCATCATCATCATTCTCATTTATAGGGATAAACAATGATCTGCTCACACACACACACACACACACACACACACACACACACACACACACACACACACACACACACACACACACACACACACACACACACACACACACACACACACACACACACACACACACACACACACACACACACACACACACACACACCATGTATATATCACTTCAGGGGACATTACATTGACTTACATGCATTTCCTGGAGACTTATCCTAACCATAACCATAACCAACTAATGCCTAACCCTAACCCTTACCCTAAACCTAACCAAGTCTTCACCCTAAAATGAATGATTCCCCTCATGGGGACCTCCAATTTGTCCCCATGAGGGAGACGAGTCCCCACACGTGACTGTGTAAACAGATTTAGGTCCCCACAAGTATAGTAATGCTAGGCCGCACACACACACACACACACACACACACACACACACACACACACACACACACACACACACACACACACACACAGTCATTCCAACAGCTCTGTTTTTGAATAAATGCTAATGTTAGCTATAACTTCAGCCGACTGGTGAGTGCTTCATTATGAGGATGCTTATAAATATCCTTCCTGTTTCTCACTCAGCTGTGGAAGGATCGTGCCTATGACGAGATCCAGGAGCGCCCCCAGGTGACAGGTCGAGGAACTGCACTTCAGTCACTTTATGTCACTGCCAACGCTCCCACAAACCCCTCTGCCTTGCCGTATTACTCCACCTTCAAAGCTCCCACAAACCCTTCTGCCTCGCTTGAGTACTCCACCATCACGGCTCACAACACCTCTGCTGAAGTTGATTGTGACACATATTCTACAGTGAGGGACCAGGCCCAATCCGCCGCCTAATCTACTGTCAATCATCCATCCAGACTTCCTGAAGACCCTTTCTATTCTTCTGTCAACCACCCACAGCAGACCTGAGATACTGTACATCTTCAACCTAACCCTTACCCTAACCCTTACCCTAAACCTAACCAAGTCTTCACCCTAAAATTAATGATTCCCCTTATGGGGACCTCCATTATGGGGACACTCAGCATTGAGTTGTTTTTTGTGTTATTGCAGGGTGCACAAAGCTTTGCTGATGTTTCGAAAAATAAAAACATTATTTCAGAAAAATGCTTTAAACGTTTGTGACACTGACACCAGCTCTAGTTTGGCTCCTTTGATTTTGTAAGGTGGTTGTTTCCACTCCTCAATAGACTGCAAGTAATCCAGAATCATAATCAAAGCCACATGAGGAGCGATCCTTTTATTTATTTATTTTTATTTATGTTATTACCTGGAGGCCAGAAAACCACCCGCAGAGAGAAACTCTTCACCGACCTGCCACCTTTTTATTAAAATAAACAGAGCAAAAAACACCTGTCCTTTGGAATCTTTTAAACTTACCTGACCTTGATTTGAGTGGTTTTTATTTTCCAGTGACATCTAGTTCATTTTATACGATTTTACTAATCCGGTGTGCCCCCCTTTTATTATTGCACTTTTGTTTTAATACTTGCACTTTCACTTTTAAATGCATGGTTTTAACTAACAGAACTGGAATCACTCTTAAGTTAACCATTTTAGATCCCCTTCTCATTTAAGGTCCTTTACTGATTCCATTGGGACAAGCTACACACACACACACACACACACACACACACACACACACACACACACACACACACACACACACACACACACACACACACACACACACACACACACACACACACACACACACACACACACACACACACACACACACACACACACACACACACACACACACACACACACACACACACACACGCCCCCCTCCAGAGATCCTGGGTTGGGGACATCTGCTTTTTAACATACTCTGCCGCCGTTCCGTGGTCCAGCCCCGTCCTGCACTTTTTAACCAGTCTTTTAAAACGGTCTTGTCCTCACAGAGCTTTTATTATAACGCTTTTAAAAGGGGTTTTATTGGGTCTTAATAGGGCTATGTTTACGGAGGTTTTTAATGTTTTTTTAAAACGCCTATTTACCGAGAGCCAGTGCACCACGCAAGGCTCCCCCGGAGCCCTACGCTCTTCCTCAACCTAACCCTTACCCTAACCCTTACCCTAACCCTTACCCTAAACCTAACCAAGTCTTCACCCTAAAATTAATGATTCCGCTCATGGGGACCTCCATTTTGTCCCCATAAGGAAGGCGAGTCCTGACACGTGACTGTGTAAACAGATTTAGGTCCCCACAAGTATAGTAATGCCACACACACACACACACACACACACACACACACACACACACACACACACACACACACACACACACACACACACACACACACACACACACACACACACACACACACACACACACACACACACACACACACACACACACACAGCTCTGTTTTTGAATAAATGCTAATGTTAGCTATAACTTCAGCCGACTGGTGAGTGCTTCATTATGAGGATGCTTATAAATATCCTTCCTGTTTCTCACTCAGCTGTGGAAGGAACGTGCCTATGACGAGATCCAGGAGCGCCCCCAGGTGACAGGTCCAGGAACTGCACTTCAGTCACTTTATGTCACTGCCAACGCTCCCACAAACCCCTCTGCCTTGCCGTATTACTC